TTTTAAAATAAAATAATTGGAAATAATGTTTTTATGAATTTGCGTAAACAAATCTTCGCATTAACACTGAACTAACGGGCTTTAAATTCTAAATAAATGTATTTTCTCCAATATCCTTATTAATATTTATTTTTATTTTTATTTTTTTCAATTTTCAAAAGTGATGATCCTCTGGTTAAATAAATCTATTAAATTGTTAGCTAAAATACGATTTCTTCTGCTGTTTTCATTCTAGATTTCATAGAAAGCTAATAGTTGACAATTCCTTAAAGAATGTACAACAATCTCAGATCTATATTATCTTTTCTCTTTCTCTTTCAGTAGCTCACTCTAACACTCACATAGGTAAAGCTTTCAGACACTATTGATGTATAGAGAGAATATATAAGGTTTGCTCTTTGCTTTGCTTAGATCAAATCGTCGTGCATAATGCCCAAGGTCAAGCAGCTGGATTAGGGTTTGAAGTTTGAAGATTGAATCTAGTTTAGTTACAAGTTCAGAGAGATTAGTACGAACATCAACGTCGCTCAGCGTTATGGGCTCGATGCAAACTTGGGCATTGGCTATCTGTTGGGCGGTTACGGTCTGAGCAGCATTCGATTGCTGCTGCTGCTGCTGTTGCTGCTGCTGCTGCTGAGCAGCTGCGGCAGCTGCCTGTGCCGCCTGCGATGCACTTACAGCGGCTGCTGTTGTCTGCACAGCCGTCGCTGTGGCCGTACCGCTCGCCGTTGTCAATTGAATCGTTTGCGGCTGCGACTGGCTGACCGCCTGGATGTGCACTGTGGTCGTGTTGTTGTTGCTGGTTGTGTGCAGATGTTGCTGCTGATGGTGCTGCTGCTGCTGCTGCTGCTGTTGGTGGTGGTGTTGCTGCTGCTGCTGTTGCTGATGATGATGATGTTGCTGCTGCTGCTGCTGCTGCTGTTGCTGCTGTGGCGCTGGCGCCTGGCATATCTCGATCTTAGTCGATGCCGGCAATGTGGCCGTCGTGGTCACATGTTGATTGTTCGTGCTTTGGATGATCGTCGGAGCTGGCGTATTCGATTGGGCTGTGTGCGTTGTGATCACTGTGCCAGCGCTGTTGATCTTCACCACGTTCACCTGCTGTGGCTGCAGTTGCTGTTGTTGTTGTTGTTGTTGTGGGTTAGTGGTGTGATCGCATGGAGTGTGGACGTGTGCGTGTGTAAGTGTGTGAGTGTGTGTGTGTGTGTGTTAGTAGGGAACGCGAAATGGGTGCGCATAAATGCAATGGAATACCGTATTATATTATTTGTACATTAAATGATTTCCCCATTCCCCATTTCTCTCTCTCTCTCTCACTCACTCTCTCTCGCTTTGTTGTGAGAGAGTCTGGAGAGATTTGTGGACTACTCACTTGGCTGGTGGTTTGATTGGTGGCCGGCGTCACCGTTTGCACCGTCTGTATGGTGGGCGTATTGGACAGCTGCTCCATGTCCTCGTCCTCGTCGCCAGACTGCGAGATCAGCGCATTCACCTTGTCCTCGTCGTCGGCGAATGTCGGCAGCAGATCCTCGCGTCCATGATATTTGTAGCAATTGATCACAATCTTGCGCAGCGCATGGGTCCAGCTAATCTGTGGTCAGTTAGGGAAATTGGGGGGAGGGAGGGCGATTAATAAGACACGATTCTGCCATTTGGGGCGGCTGTTGAACACCCACCCCACCCACCTTCTGCTTGTCATCCTCGGAGCGGGCATCCATGCGCACATTCGCCCACGGCAACTCCTTGGGCCACCATGGCGGCCGTGTCGACTCTCGCCCCCAGCCCGGCTTGCCGCGCCCCGTCGAATACTTGAGCATGAGCGGTATGAACGCACGCAGCTGTGCCTGCGTCATCTTCTCGACGGGCGTCGGTATGCCATCGATGACCAGGCCGGGCAGCTCGAACAGCGAGGGATCCTCCTGCGGCGGCGGCGGCGCCTGTTGGGCCAGCGCATTGTCCAGCTCATCCATCACAATGTTCTTCAGATTGCGCAGCACATCCTCCAGCGGCTTCGCCCCGAACACCTTGTAGCTGGTGTTCGGCTTGCCTGGCGTCGCCACCAGCACCACCGCCTGCTTGCCCACGCGCCCGGTGAATTCGTAGATGATGCCGCGCAGTTTGCGCAGCAGACGATTCTGTTGCCGCTTCCGCACCGACGGATTCGTTTCGAAGCAGTGCGGACGCTTGCGTTTCTTTGAGCTGGCTATCGCAGCGGCCGCTGCCACACCCACCGGCCCAGCAGCCGCCAGCTGGTGGGCGACATCGTCGTTGGCCAGCGTATTGAGATCGCCATCGTACAGACTGCCCTCGCTGCTAATCAAATCATCGTCCTCGTCATCCGTGGCCAGACTCTGCATGTCATCGTCCAGCATCTCGATCTTGTAGGTGGTGCCATTGCTCTGGCCACCGGAGGACGACTGCGCCTGCGAGCTATTGCTGGTGGTGGTGATTGTGGTCACGTTCAGGCCGCCGCCGCCACCGCCGCCGCTGCCGGAGCTGTTGCTGCCGTTGCCCGTGGTGACAATTGTGTTGCCCGTGACGGTGGCGCCACCGCTGACGCTGCTGACGACCACATTCCCGCCGCTCCTTTGGCTGCCAGCCGGCGCCACAACCAGCCGATAGCTTGTGGTTGCCAGCTTGGTGGCTGTGGCACGTCTGCTCCTGCTGGTTGCTGGTGGTGCTGGTGGTTGCTGACGGTGCTGGCTGTGCTGCTGCTGCTGCTGCTGCTGCTGCTACTGTTGCTTTCCACTGCCAATTCGTTCGTCAACTCGGCTCCCAAGCTAGGTCTCCCTAGTCGCATGCGCAATGTATTTTTTATTTCCTAGTTTCCTGTTTTCGTTGTCTTCTGTAACATGAAGTTAAAATATGTTATTAGGCATAATTTTATTTTTAATACTTTTTTTTTTAGATAGGAGTAGACGAAGAAGTTCATATTATATCAATCTCAGTTTTAATACTTTATTTTCTTTATTTTTTTTAATTATAGGCTTTTATATTCGTTTTCATTGTAAAAAGAATATATTTGTTTTAAGAACTGCTTGTATGGGCAGCAAGGAGGATGTTGCTCTATAATATATTTATATATATACATATATATAGAGAGAGAGAGAGATTAGAGATACAGACTTGGACAATTACAATACTATACTATACTAAAATTATATAATATACTCTCGTGTACTCTCTTCTTATAGCATAGAACTCGGGAATTCCTGTAGCTTTTACAATAGAATCATCTGTAGAATTGAGTCTATGGAAGCTAAGGACTCCCATATCTTCCATACCCACGCAGATAAATAATGATATATAAGCTTATATAGCTATATATATACACGTGCTCAAGTTAAATAGGGATAAGCTCTTATACTTTTACAGACTGAAAGCCAAAGAATGTGGGTTTTTGTTTGAAATCCTTATGGATCGAAATAAATATTAAGTCAAATATACAATATAGGTATATATGCAAATTAAGAAAAAATACAAATTATTAGCTAGAACCTCAAAAAAAATAATGAAAAGTGAGCTATAGCTTTACAAAAATATTATGTGGATAATAAATAGTATACATATCTCTGGGGACTATATAAAAAATTTAATTTTTTAAGAAGCGTTGCAACTCAACAGCCATAGATCTAGGCATAGGTAAAAGGCAAGGACTTTGACAAAAGTTTAATTATTTAAAAATTTTGAAAATGTATTTCGCTTCAACGTAGACTACAGCAAGAATTCTTAACAAAAGCCCAAACGAGCTCAAGTACAGAGATATGCTTAAGATAGTCCCAAATTTCCATTATAGTTATGCAAATTTTGACACTGTTTCTATGCTCATGGCGGGTGGTGTACGTCACACAGCGCAACTGCTCGACAAAATTGACAAAACGACAAAAAAAAAAGCACAAACAACGAAAATAAAAAACAATTAGCTGATAAGCAATGAGTGAATCAGGTCAAAAGCGCGCATGCGCAACATTCGAGAACACAAAAAACAAAATTATGTGCGCTATATAGTACATACATATTTAATGATTAAGTCAGTACGAACATCAAAAACATTGTACATACATGAATTCAATTTAACCAATGAATGCCTACGAGAGCAAGGAACGAAATGGAAAGGAACGTGTTGAAATGTGCAACGACCCACTGTCAGTTCATTCGAATTGAAAAGAAATGTTATTTATGTACAGGGATATCTCTTTACTGCTAATTATTATTATAATTATTAATAATGAGTATTTTTCAAAAATATTTGAAAAGGTAACGTGTAAATAGTATCAAACAAGCTATTTATCAAATGTTGTCTTTTAGGTTTTAAATATAATACATATATACTTAAATTGATAAGCATTTATCTTGATTTTATTAACCGAGTAAAAAAAGAAAACGAGGGATGCTCCGATCTCTTGCAAAAAACAGCATCAATAACAAACAGCATAGAAAGAAATCATAGACAAGCTTGATTTGCCAGACAACCCCTAATCAAATGTTGCGTCTCGCTTGGTGTTTGTTTTCTTATAAGCTTCCAAGTCTAAACAAACTCTCCAGTTGGAATTCCAATTGGAATGAAATGTGAGTAGATATAACTGTCCCTGTCTCTTTTATTAAACAAAATGGTTTACGAAATGCACTTTAAGTATATCCTTTTCACATCTCTCTCTCTCTTTTTTGCTACCTATGCTTTTTTTAGGCATTTATAAAATGGAGTCCATAACGCGCAGACTCAGCAGGTTAGTCCACCAAACTTTCCAGTTAATGTATGTGCATACACAAATTCATACAAATTAGTTGATATATGCATGTGTACACATACATATACATAGTATATAGTTTCAATATGGTAGCAGTCGCTGCACGTGCGCGTTGAATTTTATTTGTGAGTCTCTTGTTTTTGGGTTTTACAAAGTTTGCAATTTTTGTTTTTGTGTAACAAAAATATTAATATGAAATACTTAATATTGTATAATGCTTGCCTTTTGCTGATTTTCGATTTTAACGCACTGCACGGCACACACATACATGCACAATATTCGAACAAGAAAAAAAAAATAAATAAATATGAATAAACACAATTGGCTGATTTGTTTTTGCTCAAGTTTCCAACTAGAATTAACGCCGAAATTTAATTCGAAACCGAAATAGAGTACGAATTGTATACGCACCGCACAACGGCTAAAGCGACTATGATTATAGTTACAGTTCCGAGCTGAAGTTTATTGTTATTGTTGGCAGTTGTGTATCATTGGGTTGGCGCTGCTGCTGCCGCTGGCGCTGTTGCTACTGCTGAAACTGCTATGCGGCTGGCTTTGCGCTGCGCTGCCTTTCCGCCTGCCCAGTTGAAGTTCTATTTGCGTTTGCTCAGACGACGTTGAGGGCGACGGCGACGACGCGGCGCACACTGACAATATTATCGAAGAAGAGCGAAGAGAGCGACGATGAGCACCGAGCACTGAGCAGTGAGCACTGAGCAGCGAACAGTGAGCGACGAGCGAGCAAGCGAACAAACGACCACACTGCGCCAAACCACCCCACGGATTGACGCCGTGTGCATGCATTTACATTTTCGGTCACTGCGACGGCGACGACGCAGACGGCGGCGTCGACGCAGTTAAAAATCAATACTGCGCCCATGCGTCGACTTTGTCGCTTTGCGACGCGTTGAGACGGCAGCCAACAGTCAAGAAATAGAGTGCGCGACAGAGATGACCATACAGCAGCAAGCTCTGGCTATGTTTGTATGTGTGACTGCGTGCTACGTTCTCTTCTGCTCTGTTTTGTTTTGCATTTGCTATTTACTGATTTTTGTACTAAGGTTTGCGTCCGATGTACACACATTGAAAAGCTTTCCGAAAGCTGCTCTTGACAGGTCAAAAGCTGTCACTTGCATGCGTGCAAAGCCTAACGCCCATCCACCCGCTAACATAATTTTGGGAATATTAAAAAGAGACAGCTATATATGCAACTATGTGTGTGGATGTTATCTGTGTTGTGTTGTGGTTTCTCTCTCTCCCACTCTCTGTGTGTGTGTGTTTTTGTATGTATGTACATGTGTTTGCATGCGAGACGTTGGCAAAAAAGGGCTGCGCAGCTACCCCCAAAAGCGAAACACAACCATCCCCCATGCAAGCACTGCCAACAGCAGAAGCAGCGACAGCCGCAGCGCCAGCAGCAGCAGCAGCAGCAACAGCGACAGCGACGGCAAGAATCAACAACAATAGCAACAACAGCGCACGCAAACGCATTGCGCTTGGGCAATAATCGTGAAGTTTTACGCTGACGCTGTTATGCTACACATTATGGCCATATGGCTACGGGTTACGCATGCACTGCTTGCACCACCCACCACCAACACTATCAGCACCACCAGCACTGCCACCACTACCCTTGTTAAAGCCCCCCTCCTGCCACAACGCAGACAATAACAAAAACAACAACAGCTACACTGGGGTAGTTGATGTGGTAAGCTCGTTTCACTTGCGCGTGCCAGGCAGACAATTGGCCTAGCGCAACAGTGCTGGCCATAAAAAGTGTGCTACCAATAAGAACTACATATTTTAAATTCCTTACTGAACATTGTCTTGTTATATATCAATATTATATCTGAAATACATTGCGAATTAGAATGTGTGTTTTAGTTTTCAAGTAAAAATAAACAATTTTATTATAAGTAAAAGCACAAAGAAAACTCCTTGAATTGTGATTAATAAATATATTTTTTGTTTTCCATGCACTCATGTGTACACATTTTTATGGCTGTCACTGTATTCTGCTCGACTGCTCGACTCTGCTTGAGTGGTGCGTGCGCAATGTTCCGTTCGCGTTAAGTTTTTCTTCACTAATATGTTTGTGTGTGTGTGTGTGTATGTGTGTGGGTGTGTGCGCAAAGTTTGGTTAAATGCGCTGAGAAGCATGCTATAACGTTTAATACGGCAGTTAAAGCCACGCACACACACACGTAGCTCATTGTGTTGTTGGTGTGAGCCGCGCTGCCTGCAGCCATCGCTCCAAATGCGCCAGCGCGTATTTTCAAGATAGAGCAAATAGATTTTTTCCAATTAGAATTTCATACCATTTAAAAAACAAGAGACATGTAAAATATGGCAAAGAGCCAGAAATGAATTGCAACAATCGAGGAAGCAGAAAAATATGTACATACATATGCAGAGTCGTGCGAGGGTCACACTTGGCGCTTGCGCTTTGGTCACACTTTTGATTCTTTTCTATTATCTGGCAGGCTATTTATATGGCAATGGCAAAATAGAAAAGCGAGCGAACGCGCACTGTTTTTTTTTTGTTTCGATTTTCTGTTTTACTATATTCTCTTCCTTTTGTATTTCGTTGTCGCTGCTTTCACAGCGAGTTGCGCGTAACTGTTTGTGATTGTAAGTGCATGCGCCTGCCGCCTAGAATCTATTCTTAATGCATGCATATGTATATACATACGTGTGTGTGTGTGTATGTGTGTGCATATCTCCCACTGCGTCAGCGCGCTCACCGCTAACGAATACTCACGTACACACGCGCACATTATAAATAATCGATAGCTATTGTTTTGCCTGCTCTCTCGCTGTAGTCGCGCTCTTTCTCTCCCTCTCTCTCTCGCTCTCACTTAGTGTATGTCTGTGTGTACTTGACGTCTACTATAACAATAAGGCGATAAAGTGATGACAGAAAAATAAAATGAAATATACGAATAACAACAACAAAGTTAAGTTACGCATGCG